CGCGATGTTCCGGGCGCTGAAAAGGCTTGGCCGTTGCTTTGGATCTGTTGCAAGCAAAGCCCGCGTTTCCTTGTACAAATCACTCGACGAATCGCACATCTGCATCAGAGAAACCAAAGTAAGTTTCCACACGAGAGGTGCGGTTGGTTCTTCGTTGTGGGTCAATAGGTATCGCACGATCGCTCACCTCAGTCGCCAAGTGCGGAAAGTCGCAGTCAGACTCTCCTGCTCGTATGCTCCAGCTGCATCGATCCACAACCTCATCAACTCGTGGGTGAGCAGGTGGCACCGTTTGTGGGAACATGTAGGTGTTGTAGAGAACGCAGCCAAAGGAAAAGGCATCCTGTGCCGGGCGTGCGCCCACACGACCCATTCCAAATAGCACCTCCGGTGCTACATAGCCTGCCGTGCCCGACGATGCGGTGGCCGTGCATGGTAGCATGGTGGCTTCAGCGGCAGCCTTGGCAATGTCGAAATCACCGAGCCGCACAACAGGTTGGTCCTCCTCGCCATCCAGCATGACGTTGCTCAGCTTGACATCTCGATGCACCAGGCCCTTGCTATGCATAAACGCCAGGGCCGTGCGCAGCTGATTCATCAAACCCGCAACCACGGTCGAGGTGGCCAGATGGCGCGCCCTACCGAGCCACTGCTGCAGATCCCCTTGGGTACACCATGACTGCACCAAGTAGGCGCTGGGGTGGCCACTGTGTACGTCCACGAGCGCGCCAAGGACCGGAATGATGTGAGGGTGCTCAAGCTGGCGCATGGCGCGCAGTTCGCGGAGAAACGTCCGACACTGATCTTGTTTGTGTTGCTCAGCAAGTGCATACTCCTTCACAGCCAAATCTTGCTCAGGAAGATTCGGCAGTGCTGCGCGGGCTTTGTACACCTTGTGATTTTGGTTGTATTGGAGAGAGAGCTGGCCCAGGCTGGAGAGCGTCAAACCCTGGTCTACTTCGGTCATGGCCTCCAAGATCAGGCTGGCTGGAAGGTCGGGCCCAAGCACAGTGCGGAGGCGCGCTCCCATCGTGCTCTGTTCAGGGTGCAGAAAGACCAGCAGCGCTGGAAAGTGCTGATGCAGCAGCTGGGCGAGCTCTGCGACGTGGTCCACGTGTGGCTGATCTGATAATTGTTGTCGCAAGGTATTCAGCCGTTCCTTCTTCTCTTGGAGCTTGTGTTCGAGGCTTGGGCGCACATCTTCAGGCAGTTGTTGTAATACCGCGATGATAGTTTGAATCTCAGTCTCCACCTTGGTCAGTTCCTCGTGGGCAGCAACCGATTCATCATCGACGCCTTGAGTCAAGCTGTTCACATGACCCATGCACGAGGTCAATATGGAAAGCGTCGTGGCCTGCCAGTCGATCATGTCTTGTAACTGCTGCAGCAGAGCTTGCGACTCGTGGTGCACAAACGCCAAGTACCAATTCTGATGCTCGTAGTCTGGAGGTGGTTGCCACTGAGAAATTTGCTCAAGACCATTGTGCTCGAGCAGGCTCAGCTTCTCGTGAGCTTGGCACAGCTCCTCCCAGGCTTCGGGCAATGTCTCAGCTGGAGGCGGTGCACTTGCATCCACGCATTGCGCGCACTGCCGTAGCGTTTCCACGCGATGACTCGTGTCGGTTGTTCCCGCTTTTGCCA